CCCTGCCACGCTCCTGCCTCTCGCCGGGGATCCTCCGCAGGCACAGGGGACTTGTTCTGCCCAGCCCGGGGACTCGGCGCTTGCAGCTCAGCGCCCCTCCGCCACCCCGCAGCCCCCGGCCGCAGCACTGGGCCAGCAGCTCCCCATGGGCTGAAGAGGATTTTTTTTCCTCTTCCCCTTGGCCTCAATTTAACTTCCTTGTGACCAAGAGCACGGGCAGGGGGTTGGAGCGACCCCACGACCTCAGCTCAGAGCCAGGGACCAGCAGCGGAGCTGACACCATCTCTTCTAGGACACCTCCTAACCTCCTCATCAGCCCCCCTTATCTCAGAGCAGGAGTCGCTCCGGGACTTGGGGTCCTGGGTGCCCCGCTCCCAGCCCAGCCTTGCCCTTGGAGAATCCCCTCAGCACCCCGGGTCTCGGCACGCAGGGTGGGAGCAGGCTGCCCTGCCCCAGAGGGATGCTCCAAGGATAAACCCAGGCACCCTCCACACAACCAGAGAGGATTTTGGGGGGGCATGGGTTTTCCCAGTGGGACCCAACTCTGCTTTCTCGCTGGGCACGCCGCCTCCCTGAGGACCCGGTCTGGTTGCAGATGCTTCCCTTGCTGACGGCTCCTAGTGCCCAACTCTCCAGGCTCCGCTTGCCCTGGTTTGTACGTTGAGCTGTACCTGGACATCCAACCTCCCGTCACCCAAACTCAGGAGGTTCCTCCCGATAAGCTCCCGGGGCACAGCCCTCAGCAGCACCTGCTTTAGCCTCGGGGTGAGCAGCTCCCCTGAACGCAACCTATGGCCCCCCTTGTGCTCAGCTGCCGTCTCACCTGCGGTGGCATCGGTAATGATCTCGCTCTCCTCCAAGTCCTGCTCGTTCCTGACCGGTTCCTCTCCTTGCTCGATCTGAGACAAAATACCAGGTTTGGAAATTGCATAGTCTGTTGAGAGACAGAGGGATGGAGAGAGGGATTACTGCACAGGGAATCCAAATAGCGGCTTCCACCTCTCCCCAGCGCCCAGGGGGACACGTGAAGACGCTCAGGAACATCCAGAAAGGCTCTGCAGGCAGAAAAGCCCAGTGCTGCAGGCAGGCCGGGCTCCCCAGATGGGCAGGAGGGAGTCACAGAGGCAGGAGCTGAGCTGCCACACACCCAGGAACTACCTTCGAGGAGAAACCCAAGCTGTACGTTTTTCTGGAGGGGTTTTAGAACTTCCCAGGCAAAGTCCTGGCTCTCCTGAAGCCAAGAGCATTTCACCTCTGGCCCCAGCAGAGCCGGGATTTCTCCCGCAGCTGCAGCAGGAAATGCCCCAAAGCAGCACAGCCAAGACCGCATCAGCCAATTTTTTCCCTCTGCAAAAGCCTCCTCTAAAGGGGTGCGTGGGCTGGTACCCAGAAGATGAAGGAAACCCTTTTAACAGCCACGGGGAAGGTGCTGCTTTTTCACCGAGTAACTCTGGCTGGAAGGGGCCTCGGGAGGTCTCCAGCCCACCTGCCCTAACCCAGCCGGGACAGCAGCGCGCCCCGAGCTGGGAACGAACCTGGCCATTGCCGGAGGGATGCCCTTGCCCAGACTAGAAACACCCTCCCGTGTTTTTAAGCCTCCTTTTAAAATGAGACATTTGGGTCTCAAGAGGATCCGAGGGGACCTTTGAGGAGGCAGAAGATGCCCAGGCCCGTGGGCAACAAGGCGCCCCGGAGAACCTGCCTTGGCCAGGGCGAGGACACCCCGTATTTACCCAGGGAGATCAGCGACTCATAGTTGCCCTTCATCACGTTCTTGTACAGCTCCTTCTGCCACTCCTCCAGCTTCTCCCATTCCTTGTTGTTGAAATAGACGGACACGTCGTCAAACGTCACCGGCACCTGCAATCACGAGCAGCACGGGTTCAAGCGGCCGCCTCGCTCCCCAGCAGCCCGGCGCGTTACCTCAGCCGGCGCCGGTGGCTGCTCACTCCCGCTTGGACACAGCCAGGCTCCAGCTACTTCATGGCCACCACCAAGTCGGATTTTTATATTTAAAACGACTCCTGGACACGTATTTCTATGAGATTAAAGCTCTCGGGCAAACACCCGGCTCCCGGCGATGACCCCAGACTGTGATTTCCCCGAACGACACCAACCTCCTCCTCTCGGTCCCCGCACCGGCAGGGACGACTCTCCAGAGGTGACCGGGCTTGTGCCCGCCTGGACGGAGCATAAAGGAGATAAAAATCGTGTGCTAGGGCTGGACTTCATCTCTATTGATGAGCTGACGTAAAACCCCAGATTCAATTACCCCAGAACTCGAGGGAAAACTGCCCGGGCCTGAAGGGCTCCCGGTTATCGCCAGTTATGGGCCGGGAGCAGACCGCGGCTTTCAAGCCGAGTAATAATTTCTAAGGATAAACTCGGGATGCGTGAGCCAGGCTGTGTTTGGCTTCTGCTCCCTGACCGTGCTAACGGGGTACCAGGGTGTGAACCCCCCCTCTTCCAGACCCCCTCCGCTCTCTCTGGCGAAGCGGCGACGTTCACTTTGCCATGTCCCACACGATCCCATCTGCAAACTTTCAGCGAGAGGGTCGTGAAATCGAAGTAGGAACTGAATATTGACGGTGAGCTCCTTCTGAACTCGGTGAAGCCCAACCGCGAGCACCTTCCCCCGAATCCCAGAGGTTCCCCCTTCCCCACAGCAGCAGCAGCAGCAGCAGCAGCAGCAGCAACAGCTCCCGCTTGCTCCTTCCCCGGCCCGGAAGACCCCCACCGCAGCACCAAGGTGGTAAAAGAAATGGTGGTTAAAAAAAAAGATCAAAAACCAAACCAAAACAAAAGAGTAAATTGCTCCCGGGCTGCACAGCGCGGTGAAGCGGAACTGAAACCTCCGGCCTGAGCGTGGGGGGACGATCCCTCCCGGGTCCATCTCCCACCGCAGGCGGGTCCCAGCGTCCCGGGAGCCACCGGGAAC